AAATCGAACCTAATGAACAGTTAAATAACTAAGCTACCGTCCTGAATATGTGGCTGGCTTTCATTACCATATGGTTTGTGGAAAAATTTTAGTAGTGCCTGGCTTTAATAATGCTGTTGTGGTGGGTTCTTATGTAATCTAGGGAACAGAATTGAGTTGTTGAAAGTTTTGCAACGTGGTTCCTCTTCAATCATACATGAATTCATAGTCTTGGTTAGATCTGACCATCGCTGTCCCCTGGTGTTGCTAATTTTTTACTGTCTTCTGGGCCAATATTGTGCTACCCTCCATTTATGTCAGGATATGGCGTCTGATGCAAAAATCTCCCTAAAAAAGCTTCTGGGATCATTGGTATGATATTGGGGTTTCAGGTTTTTAAGTTCTAACCAAAGGAAGCAATTATATGAAAATCCTTACTGTGACCAGGCCTCCTCATACTATTGCCAGACTCAAGCTGGCATGTCCACCTTCATTATCCAAGTAAGATTTTGATTGGGAAGAAGTTTACAGTCTGGCTTTCGGAGAACAGTAAAGCAGTGGGTAGTTAGAACTGTTCACTTCTCCTTATGAATCATGCCAAAGTAACCAAAGCTGCATGACCAACACATCATTGCAACACAATGGGAGTGGGAGGATTACATCAATATGTCGGCAAGGCTAAGCCAATTACGGTGGGGGCTGTGAATAACAGGTTTCCTTGACGGGAACCACCGGGCTTCTCTTCCATCTTTCAGGGAGTGACATTTTTTCTGACATAAATATCAGCTTCAGCTTTTCCATTCAATCATTGCATAATGTGATTCATAAAAAATCCATTAATAGAAACAAAAGGTACTATGATATCATATTAAATTTTTAAAACGAATATTCGATTTAAAAATTAATTAACAATAAGTGAAAAAAATCGTTCTTATATTTATATACTCAAAAATTATTTGGTAAAATCTTTATTCTTCTTATCATTATGAGAAAAGACTTACATTAAAATTCTTTAAAATGATATTTCTTTTCTAATATATACCTGCTGACACTTTGCTGACTTAATCCTTGGAAGATTATCATTGGAGTCACTTTCCACTTGTGTCTTTAATATCTCAACAGGTTACTGGTTAAACTTCAACCGACTCCTGTTTTAAGCAATGCACGATACATTTCATAGTCAAAAAAAGGTGAAAGGAAATTAGTGGTGAAGCTTTCGAAAGGGAACTATTTTGTTTTGTTTACCTGCAAAAGTGTGGGAACAGACAAAAGACTTGCATAATTTCTTTCTTCCTTTTTCTACTGCAATTCATACCCTAAATAACGAGCACGAATGGCCTTCATCCTGATCCCACACTGCCATTTTCCTGCTTTATCTTTCTCTGTGTCAGCTGGTGGAACTTGGCCTTACTTTAATCAACAGATCAAGCACATAACCACCATTTTAACCTGTTTTGATTGGCTAATTAATGTTTTTTTTTTTCTAATCCTGGATGGGTAGTTTTTGTTAAATCTTAAACAGTGATTGATGCCATATTTCTATTTAATAGATATTAGATTCTTTTACAAGTACGTGTAATGTTTGCGGGATTAATCATAAGAAAAAAATCACAAAGAATATAATTAATATGGACAACGACTGCTCTATATCAAGTTAAATATTTAGAAAAATATTTAATTTAAAATTAATCAATAATAAATAAATAAAATATTTATTTTATTTATATATTCAAAATATTCTTAATTTAATAAACTCGAAACCTTTTTTTTGTTTTTCACCATTTCAATCATTTTGAAGGTATTGCTGTTATTTTTCTTCAACTTGGGTCCAAGTTCCCACGGGTTGATAAGTGGATTAAGCAAGCACAGTCATCTCTTAATGTTCTTTGAATCTACTATGCTTGTTTGCTTCTGCCCTGACATAGCACATGACATCAAAAACAAACACTAGGATTCGCACTATGAACCATTATTTAACAATGATAATAATAACAAAGATGATTCCTTTGGATCTTTCATTCAACCTTGTGTGCTTTTTTAGTATAAAAAAAAACTTTCTTTTTTTCTTATTTTGGCAGGCATGGAAAACTTTTTCCCATCATTAAAGAAATGGGAACAAAGCTTGGTTGATTTGTTAAATATTATCACATCCTTGTCCCATTCATCAGGTTTTTCAATCATTCACATTCGATCAGGAGCTGCATCCAAAATAATTTATTCATGTTATTTTTGAGTGGTCGGGTGAGCTCGTGATGATTTTAATCATTCTTTCAGCAAATTTAGTCACGTTTCCTTACATGGGGTGCCCATTTGTGGTCGGCTACAGGGTAAACAAAGAGATTACTTACTAGAAAACAAGGAAAAGAGTGGGAAAAAGGAAAAGGAAAAGAAGAGAAAGGATACTGGCATTGTGTGGATCAGAGCATGCATGGTAATTATGTATGATCTTTGTAGGAAATCTTGTTTGTTTTTTATGTTAAAATTTAGATAAATCTAAATTTACGTTAACTTTAAAAATTTAAATTCAAATTATTAATAATGATGATTAAGGGGGAGAGGTGTTGGGTGCAACGGGTTGGCCAGGGATAAGGTGTCGGTTGATGGTCGAGATGGGAAGAAAGGAGTTGGGGATTTTTTAGAATTTGAAGTTTCACGAGACAGGAAATTAATGAGAGATGTTACATATTTAATTTCTTTTTTATAATTTTTTTTTAAAAAAAAATATCGAACAAAAATCTCTATCAACAATTAAAATGATTAACTACTTAAACTATTATGATCAATTAACTTTTCAAATAAAACCGATTGATTGAACCATTTTTAATCGATATGTTGGTTGGATTATCGGAACCGACCAAATACTCAATCCTAATGATAATTTAGATGTTTTTATGAGCCATAACAATCACGTCAACACCCTATGTTGAACAAGATATCATGGAATTTTCATAGCATCTACTCCATTTATGTGAACCAACTACTGATCAAAGAAGAGACATGACGCAGTTAATTTAAGGACCCACATTTTGTATAGCCTTATCTGGATGACCTCCTACTGCGACCAGTTAAACCTGCCTACGACAACCCCGGCCATTGGATTGGATGATCAATGAAATTCGGTGGCTCAGGCAGGCTTCTTTTTAATGTTTCAGATTTGTTGCCTTACATTGCAGAGCATGATGGTGGGGAAGAGAAGAGAACGTGGATGTTTGCTGGTCAGTAATGATGATAACCATTTCCCCTTTTTCTTATTGTTTCGTTTTCGTCACATGGGTGTCGCAGTGCAGTTTTGACTACTGTAAAGAAGAAAAGGCTGTTGATCAAATTTCGGTTTTATCTTCTTTGCAAGAAGATTATAGGGCCACGAGGGCTTCTTCTGGATAGAGCTGTTCCAGCACACGATTCAAAATATAAAATGAGTTAAATTATGTAATTTATCTTCATATTTTGTCAAAGTGGTTTTCTGTATACTAATTTATAAAAATTAAATTGTTTTATTTTTTAAAATTGATAACACAAGTCTAACTTGTTAAAAACTTTTTGTTATTTATATTGATGTAGTGTTGGTTATGTTAATTTGATATTTTCTTTTATTAATGTAATATTAAATCTGACATGACAATGATTATGTGATATTTCACGAATGATGTAATGATAATATAATATGTTATAATCAAGTGTAAGTATTGATGTGAAATTATCTAACGTGAGATAATGATTTTAATTAATATTAAAAAAAGTAATAAATTAAAATTATGAATATATTTTTAAAAATTAAAGAGAGTGTTATTAAATAAAAAATAATTGAATTTCTGTATTTTATAATTTAAAACAATTAAAAAAATTTTAAAATAGCTAAAAATTATTTTGTCATTATTGACATATCATTATATTCAATATCATGTCAACAAAAAAATATAATGTTGTTATAAATAATAAAAAAAATTTAATATTCTTAATAATTAAACAGATATTGTTAATTTCAAAAAATATAAAAATTTATAATTACATAATTTAAACTATAAAATGTAAAGGAATAATTTTAAGTGATATATCAATTTTATGGTCATTAAGATTTTATTGGCTTTTATTGTTAACGTGTAAAAGAGTTATTAAACATGAATGATTGACTGTGCTTGGGCTTCAGTGAGGTCCCAGCTTGTCAGCAAACAGAAGAGACATGACTTCGTGAGTGAATGCAGGATTTTACATGTAATTTCAAGGTCTCACTCTACCATTGCACTTGCTTAAATAAACATTATCTAACGAGCAAGCTAGTCACAAATTGACTAGCATTTCAAACCAAAGAACCCTTTTATGCTAACAGCCATTTGAAACCTGACAAAATTCGTGCCCAAATTCACTTACAAAGCATGACTGTTGGTACCTGGTAGGGTAACTTCCAGACCTGCCAGTCATCACTCTGGACAAAGATAGACTACCCTTTAACTACCCTCTTCTTAAATCATTTTGTGGAAAGAAATTTGCCCATTTTAAAAGAAGACTTGAAGAATAAACAAAGAAATAAATTTTGAATTTTGTATAAAAATACAAGCAACCAATACACACATCACGCTTGAGTTATCCATTAATATAAAAATAATAGTTGAATTAATGTTCTTATGTCTTCAACTTTTGTTATAAGTTTTAAATAGATCATTTGTAAGATTGATAGTGATGTTTTTATTTTCGAAACTGATCAATAACTATCGTTTTTTATTTGGCATTGATATATTTGTAAAATTAGAGAGTATCTTGAATATATAATAATTGATTTTAAATTAGATACACGTTTTTTAAAGTAAAATCAACATTTCTTATTTAAGGGTTGAAATTTTTCAAATTTTCTTACTCTTGTCTCTTAGGTAGAGCACACATCATAGTAATTTTCAGTACCTACTTTAAACAAAATGTTTTTTTTTTTTTAAGTTTAATAGAAATATATAAATTTTTTCTCTTAATGCACCTAGGTAGTGGGTCAACTACATCTATTCATTATTGTGAGAATAATGGTAATGACTTAGCCATGAAAATAACATAACGTTTTAAAAATATAATACTTGTAGCTGATATATTTCTCATAACCCTCTCTAGAGAGCTAGCTTTGCAAAATCCCCTGGACGTTGCAGAACCATCAGTTCATCCTGGATATCCATTTCTGCCATCTTTATGCTAAGATGGAAACAATCATGTCTCTCTTTAGGCTTCTGCCCTTCAAGTTTGTGTTTGTATCATTGTTATTCTCTTTGTTGCATGCAGTCTTGTGTAAAGTCTGCAGAGCTCCAAAATTGTCAGGACATGGCCCCCCATCCTATCCAGCGATCGGCTGCTTGATTTCCTTCTACAAAAACCGCACTCGTCTGTTAGATTGGTACACAGAGCTCCTTGCAGAATCAGCCACCAACACGATTGTGGTGAACCGGCTTGGTGCTCGAAGAACTATTGTGACAGCAAACTCGGAGAACGTTGAATACATGCTCAAAACCAACTTCAACAACTTCCCTAAAGGCAAGCCTTTCACTGAAATTCTAGGGGACTTTCTTGGCTATGGAATATTCAATGTGGATGGGGAGCTTTGGCGCATGCAACGGAAGTTAGCAAGCCATGCTTTCAGCACCAATTCTTTGAGAGAATCTCTGATGAGTACATTGGAGGAAGAGGTGGAAAATCAGTTGTTACCTTTGCTAGAGTCATTAGCTGAGACATCAAGAGTCGTCGACCTGCAGGACTTGCTGAGAAGGCTTGCGTTCAATATGATCTGCAAGGTCTCGTTAGGGGTGGATCGCTGTTGTTTCGACCCTTCTCTGCCTGTTTCGCCTCTCAGCAAAGCTTTTGACGTGGCGTCAGAGATATGCGCCAAGCGTGGAGCTGCTCCCTTGTTCTTGGTCTGGAAGGTCAAGAAATGGCTCGGAGTTGGATCAGAGAAAAGGCTCAAAGATGCTGTGGAGGAAGTTCATGCCTACGTTGAGGAGATAATTCGGGACAAGAAGAAAAAGATCGATGAAAGGGGACAGAATTGTGGTGAAGATCTCTTATCGAGGTTGATATTGGCTGGCCATGATGGGGAACTGATAAGAGATATGGCAATAAGCTTCATCATGGCAGGAAGGGATACAACTTCAGCAGCAATGACATGGCTCTTCTGGTTGCTATCCTGCCATCCAGTTATAGAGCAAGAATTGCTGAAAGAGATAGAGAATAAGGAGGAAAGATTGTTAGATTATGAATCATTGAAGGAACTGAAATTGTTGAAAGCATCTCTTTGTGAATCCATGAGGCTCTATCCACCAGTAGCCTGGGACTCCAAGCATGCCATGGCGGATGACAAGTTGCCTGATGGTACCCTAGTCCAGGCAGGGGATAGAGTGACCTACTTTCCCTACGGAATGGGGAGGATGGAAGCATTGTGGGGAAAGGACTGGTCTGAGTTCAGACCAAGCCGGTGGTTTCTTGAACCAAGCTACCATGGAGGGTCACTAAAGAAGGTAAGTCCATTCAAGTTTCCAGTTTTCCAGGCCGGTCCAAGAGTTTGTCTTGGAAAGGAGATGGCCTTCATTCAGATGAAATACGTGGTGGCTTCCATACTTAGGCGGTTCGAAATCAAACCAGTTGGTTCAGATAAGCCGGTCTTTGTGCCACTCTTGACGGCTCACATGGCCGGTGGACTAAAGGTTGTGATTCAGAAGAGAGATCATTCAAGATAAGGCCAAAAGAAAAATACATTAATTTAGGGAGAGTCAATGGTTCTGAATTAAAATTGTGAGGCAATGTAAGATGCCAATATGCCATTATGTTCCCATCTGTATTATAGTTAGGACGAAATGAATAGCTGAAACAATGACATACTTAATACAAATCTTTAATCAGTGATTAATCATAATCATATTTGCATCATGATCATTGATTCAAAATCATGTGGCTATCCTGCAGGGGACAAATTTGTAATTGTAAAAGCATGAGCATAGTTAATTATCTCTAATACCTAGTCAGAATGCACATGCACGCGTGTTTCAAATGATTATGTCACCATGTATTGATTTTTTAAGAGGGAAAAAGGTTTCAAATCCTCAAAATAATAATCTTTACTTGTCAGCACAGTACCATTAAGCATATTTAATTCTCCTCTCCCGTGATTAACCACCTTGTTTTAATATCTAAAAAAAATCGTTATAATTAATTATTGTTACACACAAAGAAACAAGAAAAGAGCTGATGCTGCCAAATCTAGGATGATATAGAAGAGATGAATTAATAACAGAAAACCCTCAGGATAATAGAAATCAAAGCAGTAAGTTTCCCATTTTCATACAGGATAGAAAAAGATGAATGTAAGCGGTCCAAGATGCTGCTCTGTGGTTCTTTTTTTTTTTTTTGGGTGCCACTTAAAATGGAAAAAAAACAATGTCCTCTATTTTCATTATAGTCTTTTTCCAATCTTTAGAGTGATAAGCTTCCAAATTGTTTGTTCCATTCTTCATACGTACCCAATTCATTCAGAGAAACTGAGGGCCTGACCTCTTGTAACGCATTTTCAAAGTCCTACATAAGAAGAAGATGGCCTCAAATGATTAAGCTGATGAAAGTTTTACCTTGTAGACACGTTTGTTCTAGTTCAGACTAGCATGTCATTACCTGAAGAGTTACTGGCCGCATATCCTCTTTCTTCAGCTTTGTAATTTCTATGCCTTGCCTCAAAGCCTCTCTAAGAGGACCCATAGATGCATCTTTCACTAAGTTTTTCATATCTGATCCTGAGTAGCCTGCAAAGGATAGGTAACGAGCAAGGACATTTTGGAGGATTAGCTAAGATAAAAACAGAACAGCTCCACAGCCAAGGGAAGATAGAAGCTAACCTTCAGTTAACTTGCAAATGGCACCAATATCTTCTTCTGAAAGCTTGAATAATCCATCTTTCTCTAAGAGATTACGTACTATCCAGGCTCTGGCTTCTTCATCCCCAGGAAAAAGAAAGTCAGAAACAAACTCTGGCATAAATGGGTAGAATTAGATAAGAAATGTTAGTTGCACCTGATGAAGGAAGGGGAATATAGAGTCTCTTCGTAAGTCTTCTCCGTGCTGCTTCATCAAGCTCTTGAGGTCTATTCGTTGCTCCTGGAATATAAAGATGTCAATGCAATTGCTTGATATGACTCACCATATTTGAAGAGCTTCAAGTAAAGTCTAAAAGTTAAAATGTCAAATATAACTTGGATAAGAGATTTTTATTTCATTCTTATGAGATGCAGGCATAATTATCATGTATTGAACTAGTTCTCTCTAACAATTCGGAAAGTGTTAAGGATTTAACATGAATGCATATACTAGAGGTAGCAACACTCTCATTTCTGACAGGAGGTCCCTTTATTGAAACCTTTTCCATTTGTCGACAAAAATATATATATATATATATTCGTGGCTTCAACAGTACCTATAAGAAGAATCTGCTCAATGCCACTATCAAAGCCTTCCATTTCAATGAGGAACTGCGTCTTGAGTCTTCTACTTGATTCATGCTCACCTTCTGATTTACGCTGCAACCAGATAAAAACCCTTCAGCAGAACGCTTTATTGACCAGTTATAATGATTATTATGATGTAAGAGTCTAGTAAAATGCATCAGCCTAATTATTAGTTTGATTTACAAGTGGTGTGTCTGTAAATTACATGGATGTGAAGCATAGCCTAGTTCAAACAGAATTAATGAAAAAACAAAAATTGATTAATGATCAAAAGAAAATAAGTCCTTGTTTATTTGTAAAGTTTGGTGAATATCCATGTAGATGACTGCTAACGCAAAATAACTAAATTTGTCATCAGGTTTGACCAAACCTCTAAATCATTTCAATAAAGCATTCAAAGGTAGCTCTGACACCAATTCAAGTTTATCTTTAAGAGACATAAGATATATCTTACCTGAGATAGAAGTGAATCTATTTCGTCAACAAAAATTACAGCCGGCTGACGACAACTTGCCACCCCAAAAAGCGCCCTCACTAGCTTTTCACCCTCACCAATCTACAGTCACCAGTTGGAATGTTAGCTATTATAGTTGATTCAAAATAATATCTGGAAGAGAATGCTAGTAATTAGTAACATCTGGAAATGAAATGCTAGGAGTGACTTGAGAGATTTTAAAACTATTACTTACTGTGGATCTCAGAGATACATGTTGAATGGTGCCTAAATATTTGACAGGGCTTCCAGTATTTCAAAAACAAATATGCAAAGTATCATACAGACAAACAGGGAGACAGAAACATACCCACTTGCTTGTCAGTGAACTAGCAGATATGTAGAAAAAGGTGGCTTTGGCTTCCCCAGCTATAGCTTTCCCAATCATTGTTTTGCCTGTTCCCTATAGTAATAGTAGGTGCCCAAAGAAGTCATAAACCCATTATATTAGCATCTCCAATTTATAAAGAGTAAGAAAATACTTACTGGGGGACCAAAGAGAAGAAGACCTCTGCCAGGAGAGCGACAGCCTCTAAATATGTCAGGACGCAATAGAGGCCATATGACCATCTCTGTCACACATTTTTTGGCATGCTCCAAGCCAGCTGCAGCAGTTGCAGGCAGAAATTGTAAATTTAATTACAAAATTTTTAGATAAGCACATAGCTGAACAAAGCGGAAACCTAAAAGGAACATCTTAAAATACCAATATCATCCCACCGAACATTGGGATCTCGATCCATAATCTCATTACTGACATGCTCAATAAGGCGAGGTTCCAAGTTCCTTAATTTTTCAGGAAGTTCACCATCAGGACCACACAGCATTTCCAAACTGGAGGCAAAACCATTAAAAACAAGTTAAGACAAAGGTCAGGCATCAGACATATAAATAATGCTATTCAATATGAGACTTGAAACTGATCCTAGTATAGGAGATAACAATAATGCTTAAACTCAGTTTCAAAGATGCCTACGAAGGCTTTAAAGGCTCATTTGGTTGTAAGAGAAACATAAGAAATTCTTTAGTCAACAGAAATCTTAAATGGTTGAATCTCCTTGTAGAGACCGGACATTGAAAATGTAATACATAATCCATGAAGATCTAGTTGCAATTTTCATTTTCTTTGAAGAATTAACATAACTCACCATGTCCTTGTTGAATCATCTAATGCCTCATCACCTTTTCCACCAATTCGTGATGTCACATTTCCAACACTGCCCCCATTAGATCTTATTGGGGGAACAAAATTACCACGAACTCCACGGCGAGAAAAACCATAGGATTTTGCACCATAACCTCTAGTATTGAAGTTGGTATCACTCTGTGGGGAGACAGAAGAACTTGGGGAACCAGCCAGCCCTCGTTTTTGCCTTGCATCCATTTCCTATAACGAAGGGATTAACAATGGAATGTATGGAAATATTGCAGAAAACGTAAAACAAGTGGTTTCACTTTCAAACTCTTCAAAAAAGTACTGAACCAATTGGCAGTTTACATGCCAAAACTCCAATATTTTGTATCTTACCAGTTTTGCTCTTGCTGTTACAAATCCGTTCCCTGAAACATCAGCATTAGCTTCTTCATTGCTTGACGGCGAATTAGGGCTACTGATTTCTATGTGTGCACGCTTTGTCCCTGAGGTATTTACATGGCCCCTTTCTTCCTCTTCAACTTTGGAAAATGTTGAAACAGTGTGTCCCCTATGAAGGTTGTGATTAAAATGACCCTTCTCCACTACAACACAATCTTCGGAACTGTTAGTTTTGGAGTCCAAAGAACTCTTGTACGAGCAATTATTTGCCCTTGTAATTTTGTTTCCATACAAAGATGTCAACTTTGCCTGTGTGGTAACTTTTGACAGCTTGCTAATCAACTTATCTTGCCTGTCTTGTTGGCCTCCCTGAGACACAATCGAAGCTCAGTTTATTCAGAAAAAAAAAAAAACTTGTAATCGATGATCTTTTTCAAGTTCGATCATAAAA